AAAAAAAAAACAAAAAAAAACAAAAAAAGGGAAAAAAGAAAAGAATGAATAGTAAGTCACCTGTCTGGATAATCTACAATGATTTCAAAAAGTTTGGCTATTCTTAAATCCTGCAAGGTCTCATAAGCATAATACTCTAAGCGCAATTGCCATCTAACAAGCCCCTCAGATGGAATTCCAGTTCCAGAATAGCACAAGGACGGGTGGGATGCTAGGGGCGACTTCAGGCCAGAGGAAGGGTCATTGCAGCTAGTAAAATCACCAAGGTACTCAAGAAGTGCACGCAAGAACTGAAGGGGCACAGCCTGCACAAATTGGTTCCAAATGTTAACAAATCGGATCCAGTAGTCCAAACATTAACGTTATCCATGTTCTTCAAGTTTGAGACAAAAATTCATGAGGAATTGATGTTTTTTTTTAGAGAGAGAGAGAGGCATGGGGAATTGATATTCGAAATCATATAACCTTTCACAAAGTTATTGTGTCATTTTCGCAGTGTCTTCCAAGCTAATCTATACGCAGATCACATGAGTGAAAGCATCATTGACAATAAATTGGTAAAAAGCATAACAAAATCCATTAGATCTATCCGGTATTATCAAAGGCGCGCTTAAGCCCCGAAACGAAGCTCAAAACATGTTGAGTGTTTCGCCTCGCTTAGTGGGCGCTTCAGTGTTGTCATCAAGGCTCTAAGGTATATTTTTCCTTACTAATGAGCACGATCCTAAAGAGGCGACACTAAACGATTGATATTTACTTTATCGCAAATTTTCTTCAATTTCTTTGTCCATATATTTGGTATTCATGCTTATAGATGTTATTCTTGGACTACGCATACAGATTTGTAGTTTTTCTCCATTTGTGCCTTTCTTCATTAAAACCCATGCTTTATTTGCGCTTTACGCTTAAAGCCCCAACAGATCTTAGAGCTTTTTTGCGCTTTTCGCCTTTGATAACACTGGATCTATCTGACTCAAAACGTATGACTATTTGCAGAATATCAATGGAATCGAAACTAGTGCACTAGGCAAGGAAAAGATGTTTCATTACAGGATGCACACTATAGTCGCTCAATATCCTAAGTGAGTCAAATGACCACCACACAAGAAGTCATTGCAAATCTAAGAGTGCTGAAGAAGATAACTTTCAAATGAGCTCGAATTGCAACTCTAAAATAGAACTCTGAAAGGGTCTTTGCACTACTACTTCGAGACGTGAAATTGGGATCATGCAGATGAGACCAACCTGTATCCATGCTTTGATGGACTCCAAAACAGAGCTCCTATAGTCATCACCAGCCAAATCATGTACTTTGTCCTATCACCCGCATTCAAAAGAATAATTGAGTACAAGATTAAATGAATGGAAACTTCATATAATTTAAATCGAAAGATAAATCTAACTTTTTGGTCAAATTAACAAAATCGAGAATGCTGACAAATCACCATAACATGATTAATGTTAACTGAAAATGCTGATAGATCGACTGAATCTTCATCACCAATGACCATATACCTTAAGAAGAAAAAATATGGCAGAAGCGTATGCATCTTCCGCCATAGATGTAAAGCCAATATTTCTTAGATCACGAACAACCATACCAATGTTTTTCACCAACTTATTGTTCCCTGAAAATCTTGCATATTCATGGTTTCTATCACTATCCTTATTACCACATTTGTCGGGCAGTTTGCTTTTCTCATCTAAATCCATTTTATCATCCATGCCTAACTCATCATCATCCTCAGAGTTTGCACCTGCAATTGTACTTAGCTCTTCCAGTCTTCCTTTGAAGTACCAGTGTAGTATCCCTAAAATAATTAGTAAGGGAAAGGACAAGAAAGAATTAGAATGTACACCTCATAGATAATAGCCATAGAAACGTCTTAATGTGAAGCTTCTCTTAATCACTCTTCCTCTTCCAAAAAGTGAACAGGAAGAATAAATATACAAGAATCTCAAACTTCTTCCTTTCCAAAATATATGTGTGTGTGTGTGTTTATTGTAAAGACATCTTCTAACTTGTAGATTCAGAAACCAAAGCAGTAAGATTAGTGACTAAAGAAGTATAATTCTTGTGTTGCAGTTGGCAACCCTGGGCAATAGTATCAACGGAAAAGGGTCAAAACTACCCCTATCATTTGCTAAATGGTTTATAAATACCCTCCGTCCATCTATCCGTCCAAAAAAACACACGACGTTAATTCTATTAACAAAAATACCCCCGCGACCAACAGCAGTATTGGTGGGTCTTTCATTTAATGATGTGGCGATTTTTAACCGGGCCACGTGGCAATCTTTAACCAAAAATAAAATATGGGTCTTATTTTTACCCATTTACCTGGTTCGAACCATTTACACAAATGGGTGGTATCTATCACACCCATTCTCACTCATCTGACCTCCCCTTTCTTCTTCTTCAATCATAAACCCCATCTTTAGGAAATGAACATGCTAAGAACTACTGCAGCAGTGAAGGACACGGGACTTTGGTCTTTAGGCAGGATGCACATATGGTGATGAAGTTAATTCACAAACATACAGAGAACATATTTAGGAAATGAACATGCCAAGAACTTCTTTACTTTTTCAATTCACAAACACACAGAGAACATATTTTTCTTTGCAAAATTTGCCGGTAACAATCTCCCAGAAATTGTGAAACTTTATCCTTTTGTCTCTTGGATGAACAAAGAAATATATGTCTAAAAAAAATCAAAGAAGATATCGGAAATGATAGACCCTCCATCTTCAGCCATTATCCATGTTTTCTCTCACCATTTGAGTCAAAATCACATAGACAGAGATAGCATAAGCATAAAAAATGGCAGTATTGACAAAAATGGCTTAAATCCAGAAGCTTAAATCCAAACTCAAAATGTAACCACACGCTCGTCTCAACAATCCGAACAAACCCCAGAAACCAATTTGAACAATCGCCCACAGAATCGAAGGAACCCAATTCGTCTTCTTCGTCGATAATCCGTTTGAAAATTTTCAACTCAAAACCCTAGAAAATCACTCAAATCGATCCTAATCCTTCATATTCGGCTTCAAAAATGATGTTTCCAACTAGAATCATGGACATCCAATCGAATTCGAAGCCCTAATTTTCTAATTTCAAACGAAACTTAGCTTCTTCGTTGAACTCGGCACAGACGGGTTTCAATTGTGGCCTTAAATTCAATCAAACTTCTTCGAATTGAAGCTCCAAATAAGTAGTTCAAACTTAGATAATGAATAAATCACAAAATTTAGAACCAAAATCGAATGGAGAACAAGGAATTGAACTTTTAGGAACAAATAGTGAAAAGCAATAGATACGATTTCCTCTTTAGGACACTGATGAACTTTAATTTTGCTAAGCCCGGCACGTAAAAATGGGTAAATGGGTCGGACCAGGTAAATGGATAAAAATAAGACCCATATTTGATACTTGTTTAAAGATTGCCACGTAGCCCAATTAAAAATCGCCACATCATTAAATGAAAAATCCACCAATTCTGCCGTTAGTCGCGGGGGTATTTTTGTTAATAGAATTAACGTTGTGTGTTTTTTTGGACGGATAGATGGACGGAGGGTATTTATAAACCATTTAGCAAACGGTAAGGGTAGTTTAGGCCCTTTTCCGTAGTATCAAACATTTGGTACTTTGCTGCATGATTGGTCCAAGAAAAGAACTGATTTAAACAAAAAACAGAGAAAAGAGAATGGTTTAACTTCAAATAGGACAAAACAAACAATCTCAAGACCTCAGAAAGCTACCATATCCATGACGAGACTGTAGTTTACCTTCATTTATTTGACCTGTTCGAGAGGTAATTTGAACTGGTTTTGATATGAAGCAAACAGGTCAATAACAAAAGAGAGTCCCAAATGGGTGTCTTTCCATCAATGAGTACAAATTAATACAACAGCATTTGAGCTTGAATACACTTAGGTTGTTGCCACCATTTTATTCCCAAGATACACGCTTGTGTATTATAAGCTGGTCAAGACTTTTCACGTAAATTGTCAATTTGTAATAAACTACAAAAAACAATGAACAATGAAGTATAGGAACTATATTATGTTCATCAAAAAAAAATTACACCCTTTTTTTCACACTCTTACAATCTCAGTTTAACCATGCCTTGAAGATCATAAAAAAACAAAATGTTCTATAAAGCTGGTCAGTAGCACACTTTATAGCCATTAGCTCAAGTAATACCACCAATTAGCCATTTGAGAAAGCAGTCAAATGAACAGAATTCTACTATCAAGAAAGCAACTACCTTCATCGGCATTGCATAAAAGGAAAAGGAGAAAGAGATTGGGAAGCAGGGAAAACATTTAAAAAGCACAACTAAGCAAAATTCAGCATGTACTATCATTCTATGAAGTAATCCACATACCAGGAAAATGGCGAGGAAAACTAGCCAAAAGAACTGAAGACACAATTAGTTGATATTTTGAGAACAGATAAACTCGAGTAGAATCTGGGTTCACTTGTCCTTGTGACTTGTTTTCTTCATAGGACTGTAAAGCATGAGCCAACAATAGTAGGCACTTCTCCTGATACTGCTTTTCAGATGATATCTCTTCCAAAGCTTTACGTATTACTTGCTGAATCTCTTCTTCTAGAATCTGTATCAATAACAATCAAGTATGTCCATATAAAGTTGCTAAGCCCTAAAACCAAGTCATAGCCTGAGCAAGATTAAAATTGCTAAGATGGCAAATCGAATCAGCAGCAAAAGTGAGAATATAACCATGCACATCCGCTAGCTAGACAAGATATTATTGACAAACAACATGTGTTTTCCATGTAAATTACTTCCCCTAATAAGAAATGCAGTTAACCATAAGGAAGCTAAGATTCATAATTATAAGCCTCTAACACAGACAATGTTTAACAAACTTGTAGCAATGGAAGCAAGAATTGAAGACCAAGAAAACTATGGCATAAAACATCATAGCTAAAACCAAAAAGAAGAGCTTACACTACTACTCAAAAAAGGTGTGTAAATGGGGTTGTTAGGTCGTGTAACATACACATTTTCTACGTTAAAGTAAGACAGGATTAGGAACATAATAGAAAACTTTACACTAAGTAACAAAAATCCAAAAATTGTGACAAGCATAGAGAATCCTCATTAACAGTAATCCTGCATTTGCACACACAGACAAGTTCACGGTGAAAATCAAAGTAGTGATCCATTCTTGTAGTTCCATAGTATTGCCTTATCCTTAATATAGAACAGTATATCACATGTCAAAGGGACCGTATGCACATACTGGATCCTTATTAGTTTCAAGTGGAGCAACATTGCTGTAAGGTTCAAAATAACTCCAGAACCTTCTTGCTCCATTTCTCTCGAAAGTTTCCTGTTCCAACACAACATTTTCACTATGAGTTCAATAAATATACCTATTAGAGTTATAGCCACACTGGCTTTAAAAATGCAAAAACTAAGTTACAAATCATAATGTACATGGTGTAGCTGAAAACTGCGAAAATGAAATCATTTCAAAATATTTGAATATTTTCCTTGTAGAAAACATTTCAAATACAGGGTATTCAAATAGTAGAAAATGATTTCATTAACCAAGATACTGTCAGTGAAAACATTCCAATACTTGAATCCCTTGAATTGTGGAAAATGTTTTCTCCAAGGGCGATATCCGAGAAAGAGAAGAAAATCACTCCAGTCACTTTAGTGCGGAATTTGTTTACGATTGTTCTCCTTATGTCCAATATACTATACCTTGTATAATTACCATATATTACCTATTGTTACTTTTTATCAGGATATCACCTACTATTATACCCAATCAAACACAGGAGACAACGATCCAGGTTACAATTTTCCAATGGAAAACATTCTCCTCCAAACAAAACCAAACCAAACCACCCCAATGGAAAAACCTTTACTTATAGGTAATAAAATTGAGTAGCCATGTTTTTTAAGTATTTTAATTTACTTTCGAATTACTCAAAGTCCTATGCTTTCTGGGAGTTGTTTTGCCTTTCAGCAATTTACACATGTATCTTAAAAAAAAAAAGAGCTTCTACTACTTTTTATTACGTATAATATTAGCCTGAGTTGAGTTTAAATGGAGTAACACGGTCAGTGAGGAGTCATACAACTGACTCTAACTTATCTGGGACTGAGGTCAACTATTGAAATATGTGTTAAAAAAAAAAAGACCATATAAGTAAAACTTTTGAAATATGTAAATTTTATTCAAATATTGCTAGGATAGATGAGAATTCACACTATACTTTACTTGTACGTAATGAAATTGAGTAGTTATGTTTTTTCAGCATTTTAATTTATACTTTCAAATTACTTTACGTCCTATGCTTTTCTGGGAGTTAGTAATATAATACTTCTTTTTATATTAAGAGATGAGTTTAAATGGAGTAACATGGTCAGTGATGATTCATAAAGCCGGCTCCAAATATGTAAAATTTATTTAAAAAACATCATGACAGTTAAAATTTGAGCAGACCTGAACGCAGCGAAGGAAGTGTTGTTCAACTAGAGACGTTAGGCCATGTTCGCAGAGATTCTTAACTTGCGTTATGAACTCGGCGCTGAATGACAAATCACCGCTGCCTTTAAGAAGAGCTTCTGAAGTGGAGCAAAAGCCGTTCCAGTTTTCCGATATTTCTGCTATAGAATCGACATTCAGTGAGTCCAATATCCCCAAATTGCACGTCATTGTGCAGCTCTTACAAGGTTTCTCTCTTTCGCCGTCACTGATGATTTAGAAATTTAATTTTCCGGCAGACAAAACCCTAATTGACTAAGTAAGAATAAAATCATGCGCATTAGATTTGTAATTGAGTTAAAAGGTGGGAAAGGGAGACTTGGAGAGATAAGGAGTGGGGCTTTGGGAAGAGATGGTGATCTGCTGCTCTCTTCAATGGTGTGAAGAAGAGGAGAATCCAGCTACTGCATTTACCGCCATTTTCCTGTTTTGAGTACCTGTTGACTGAGCAGCCCATGTTCATACCCGACCCGAATGGATTAAACCACAAACCTCCCTTGAATAATGTGTATATTAACCACCTGAAAAATATTGATGTGCCCCAAAAACTTACGCACATCGGTATTTACGTCAGGCCAATAAAAAAATTGATATTTGCTATTTAATCTAACTATAATTATTCGTGCTCAATCATGGTGTGAATAGTTAATTTTTGACCATATTTTAATTTATTTTCATTTTTTCCGCTCACTTTTTACTTCCACACTTTCTTCATTCACTACTCACTTTCTCCACTCACTACCCACTTTCCCCACTCATATTTTCCACTCTCCCTACTTTCCCCCCTCATGTTCCCCGCTCTCTCCAAAAATATTTTCTCCACCCACTCCTTCATCATTCTCTCTACATATAACACACACACAAAACAAAAGGATGGGGGATCTGAAGAAGAAAGGGAGGGGAAAATGCATAGGAATAAGCAGCTGAAAATTGGCTCTCTTTGATCGGCTTTGCTCCCTCGTAACAACAGCTCAAAAAAATTCTAGGGGAGAACTAGTAAAATCCTTGCTCCAAAATTATCCCAACCTCAGCTGAAAAACAGCCACTCAAAACCAGCAAAACACCTGCGAAAATAAGTCCAAAAAATACAGTCAAACCCAGCTACAAAACTGTTGAAAAACCAGTCATAAATCTCCATCGAAACAGCCATCAACTTTAGCAAAAAAGAGCTGTATTTTCATTCCAAAAATCAGCCATGAAATAGTCGTTGAGGTTAGTGGCGAAGGTACTGTCCGAGGTTCACGACTCAAGGTTCAGTCCCTGTTTTCGTTTTCCGATCAGATTCGATTCACCGGAGTTTGTTGTAACCAAGCTCACCTTTAATACAAAGGATTCAATTGTTGAGGTTCAGTTTTCTTCTATATCTTTATCTCTAATATCAAGTGAAATAAAATAGATAAATTGTTCCATGACTTTGATACTATTTTTCGTTATATGCCTGTAGACGTTAATATCATTTTTTTTGTTATTTTTCTTGATATTTGTTGTGCTTTTATTTTAATAGACTATTTCTGAAATTAATGTCTTATTGTGACTAGAATGCTAAGCATGCTTTTGTTCAATTGTTATCATGATTTAGCATGTTATAATTTAGACAATATTTTAATGTAAGTTGATAAATTAATTAATGAAAAGCAAGGTTTTGATTAGATTTGAGCGAATTTAATTTTTGTTGGTTTGGACTTTCAGTTGGATTGTGGATTTTGGCTAATATGTTCATAGGATATTCATTTAAAGTGACCTTACTTGAATTGGTTGGATTTAAATAATTTCAAATTGCCAAGCTCAACACAATATAAACTAGTGAATAAATTTGGTCCGTTTTTCCTTAGTTAATTAGTTTCGCTTCTTCCACAAATAAATTTCATAAATTTGGAATATTCATGAATACCGTAGTTTGCTTTAGGCACGCAATTAAATTATTATAACTACGGGTACGGTTCCCGTGGCGTGGTTGTGATACCTAATTTCAAATTAAGATTAAAAATAGGAGCACCTTTAGTTTGCCTTTTAAAATATATAAACCTTTTCTTAAAATAATTTGAGGCGTGTCATGCCATATAAAACCCCTAAGCTCATGGCCCTCACAAAACTAGCTAGCTTTAATAGACAATTTGAGGTGTGCCATTTTCATTAAGTAACCCATGGCCCTCTTGTAATTAACACTAACTCTTTTAAAATCGGGGTATGCCATCAATTGAATTTACCATGGCGCTCGTAAACTTTGTTATTAATTTGAAATTTCGTAGTTGCTTTAGGCGCGTTCTTTAAATTGATTTTCTCTTATTTATTAAATTCGGGTATGAATTTCATGTGACCCAATTTCAATTCTTAACAACGTTAAATAGAACGTGTCGTGAACCGCGGGTGCATTTCATGTGGCATGGTTCAAAGCATGTTTTAAATAACGTTGAATCTTCCTGAAATAATTAAAAGCGGATTAATAAGCTAAAAGTGCACCATAGGTTTAAAACGTGTATTAAAATCAGATAATAGGTCAATTATAATAGTTTGAGCGACCGTGCTAGAACAACGGAACTCGAAAATGCCTAACACCTTCTCCCAGGTTAACAGAATTCCTTACTTAGAATTTCTGGTTCGCAGACTTCAAAAGGAAAGTCGAATTTTCTCGATTTGGAATATAAAAATAAATCGGTGACTTGGGACACCAATTAAAATATTCCAAGTGGCGACTCTAAAAATTAAATAAATAATCTCATTTCGAATAATGTCACTTAAATTGGAAAAACTCCCCCCGACTCGAGCTGTCCGCTCGGGTAAGCCAGGTCTAGAACAATACACCTAAGTTTTTAAACCTAGAATAACACAGCCTCATGCCGGATCCCTAGTAGGAACGTTTGTTTGCATCACGTGCATTTGACATTGGGGACTCAACACAGGGGTTGGGTCCGTCTAGGATAGGTGTACGCAAATTAAAAAGACTATCCTGATGCATCTTACGTGCTACTTGCGCATCTGTTTGTTTCGGCTTGCATGTTGACCAGCTTTTATAATAGAGAAAGAAAATCAAAAAAAAATCAAAAATCAAAAATAGTAGTGAGAGGTAGGTATTTAGAAAATTCTGAAACTCTGCCGAATTTTGAAAAAAAAAAAGTCATTTCAAAATGAGCCAAAATTTTCAAGTGCCATATTTCCCCTGTTCCGTCAAAACTGACCGAAATACGCGGGTCTGATTCTCACCGGATGTGAGATACGTAGGCAAACCTTATCGGTTCCGACCCCAATTTTTAAAAATCCAAAAATATTTTCCTTTAGTTCCTTCTTTAGAAATCTTTCATTAAAAATTCAAAAAAAAAAGAAGTTTTTTTAAAACTCAAAAAAAAAAAGAAAAAAAAAAAGAAAAATCAATAAAATCAAAATCCAAAATACGAGTTTCCTTTATTTTGAAATATTTATTTTTTCAAAAAAAAATCAAAAAAATCAGGAAAAAAAAAGAATTAAAAAAAATCTTTTCCTTGTTTAAAAGTCTTTCTTTCGTAAATGTCAAAAAGAATTGTTGAAAAATTGAAGTCCAAAAATATTTTTGCTTTTCTTTAGAAGCACTTTTGTAAATAAATAAAAAGCTCAGAAATTCAAAACATGTTTCTTAAAAAATCCCTCTTTCGAAAATTAAGAGGCAATATCCAAAATCCAAAAATATTTTCTTTCTTCTGTAGAAAAAGAGAAAACAAATGAAAATTCAAACAAAAATATTTTCCTTTTACTTTTGAAATTCCCAAAGTTCCAATCAAAAGAAAGGAATTTTTAGAAGTCTTTCTTTCAAAAATAAAAGAAAATCAAAATCAAAAATCCAAAAAAAAAAAAAAAGTATTTCCTTTCTTCTTTTAGAAGCATTTTTTTTAGAAAAATCCAAAAGAAAGAAAAAATCATTAGAAAAAAAATTCAAAAAATCAAAAATATTTTTCGTTTGCCTTAAAGCTTTCATGGTGTGAGTTTTATAAAAAGTAAAAAAAGGTTAGTTTACTTATTTCATTTCCGATCTTCCCGAACTACGCAAGATCTGATTCATGCGACGTCATGATACGTAGGCAATTCCCATGGATTTGATCATGGCCATAAAATCAGTTGAGTAAAAAATAAATTGAGAAAAAAAGAGTGAAAAAAAAAGATGAAGAAAAGAGAGAGAGAGAGAGACCAAAAAAAAAAGTGTGACAAACAAAAGAGAAAAAGAGAGTGCAAAAAATAAAAGAGCGACAGAAACGAAATGAAAAAAATCAAGAGTGATTAAAGAGAGGCAGAAATAAAAGAGGTGCATACTGAAAGAGTTAGTTAAGGCCAGGATGAAACATGCAATCGTTCAAACACATGATAGAAGTGTTTAACTGTTAGGTGCATTGCATCCCAACGTGCGATTTCCTATATGTTAAATGTTTCAAAACTAACAAGGTTGTTGGGTGTGCAAATTAGCCAGGTTTTGGTGGTTGGTTTTGTTGGTAGTCTAGCATCCCCTCCTTCACAATATCCAAAGGCACAGATGGCCTCTGCAAGCAATCTCCAAATCATCGGTCCTAAGGATAGCCCGACATCGACTATTCTGCAGCTAGAATTAGCAGTTGCTGAAGAGAATAAGATGTTGCGTCTCTGCATATTGAAAATATGGGATGCCGGTCTAATGGTAGTGAACCGCCAAGTGCAATCTCTGGGTTCCCTGAGTTAATCCCCAAGTCAAGTAATGTTACCAACGCTCATGTGCCCAATCCACTCATCCCATGCGGGCACCCTCCAATACCGTTCAGTGATCCTGGCATGCCTTTTATAGTTTTTCCCCAGGTGCCAGTTTTCTGGGTACCTCCAATATTGTTCTCTACAGCACCAGTCTACACAAGAACACAACCAACTTTACCACGGCCATATGTTGAGCCTCCGATGTTCACCTTTCAGAGCCCACAGTTTCAATAAGAAATAACATATGTGACCCCATACTCTTTCACTCAATCTCAGCAATGTGATCTCTCGGGGAAGCAAGAAAGGGTTGTTAAAAATTCCGAGCAAGAAGAAATGGCTCGGAAGATGAAGAGCCTGGAACAAATCTTGAAAAACATGCAAGGTCTGAGTGGTCAAAAGAGTGTCTCGTACTTTGACCTCTGTATGTTTCCCCATGTCCACTTGTCAGTTGGCTTCAAGATGCCAAAATTTGAAAAGTACAACGGGCACAGAGACCCGGTCGCTTATCTGAAACGATATTGTAACCAGTTAAGGGGTGCTGGTGGAAAAGAGGAGCTGCTAATGGCCTATTTTGGGGAAAGCCTCATCGGAATCGCTTCTGAGTGGTATACAAATCAAGAAATTACTCATTGGCATGTGTGGGACGATATGGCTCAAGATTTTATCCGTCAATTTCAATATATTGTGGACATCGCTCCCGACATAAACTCCTTGTCTAATTTGAAAAAGAAAACCGCGGAAAGCTTCCGCGAATATGCTATCAAATGGCGTAAGCAAGCTGCCAGGGTAAAGCCTCCAATGGATGAACTTGAAATGGTCACGATCTTTCTACAGGCCCAAGAGGCGGACTACTTCCAGAACATGATGTCCACTATGGGAAAGCCGTTCGCGGAGGCTATTAAAATTGGGGAAATAGTTGAAAACGGTGTAAAAATAGGTCGAATCTTGAGTTATGCTGCTTTTAAGGCCACATCATAGTCTACTTAGAATAGTTCGGAGGGTTTGAAGAAATGAGAGTGAAGAGGTAGCCATGATGGTTTCAAGCTTGAGGGGGCCCGCAGGTCATTCAGCCATTCATATGTGCCTCCTATCGCCCCAACACACCACTATCCCCTTTAAGGTGATGCTTATGTCGTGGCACCGCCTCCCTGTGCGGTGATGAGCGCACAATCTTACACCCAGCCAAAACATTATACACAAAACCGAGCTCCACCTCCCAGAAACGCCCATCCTTACCAAGCTTCATATAATCCTTAACCAAATGTTCCCCAATACAATTCTCGCCCAAGATAGCCTTTCAGAAAGAATCAGTTTACCCATATTGGTGAATCGTATTCAAGCTTGTTCCAAAAGCTAATCATATTAAATCTATTGCAGCCAGTGGCCCCAAACCAGCCGAACCCCGAGTCCCCCTTGCACCGAGCTGATGCTATATGTGAATACCACTCTGGAGCTGTGGGACACAGTACAAAGGACTATTGGATCCTCAAAAGGGCAGTTGAAGATCTGATTGAAGCTGAAAGAATCATTTTTTGGGATGAAGAAGCTCCTGATGTGACGAACAATCTATTGCATGCCCACAACATCGAGCCAATAGTCGGAATGATTTGTGAAGCTGAGGAATTTGATCCGACACTGAAGGCCATTTCAGCCATTGCCGAGACGGAAGAAAAGCAAAAAAATGGTAGCCAAGCCTGAAAGTTCCCCATCA